CTCTGCCGCCAGAGAAGAGGGCTGGGGCCTGGAGGAGCTGCCAGCAGAGCCGTGGGCCTCTCGCACAGCTGGGTTGGGCTTCCAAGCCAGGCCAGGCTGACCTTTCCCAGGGGAACCAAGTCCCTCATCCCAGCCCTGCTCCTGCCCTGCCCCTCCTTCCCCACGTGGCGCTGGGCCTGAGGGCAGGCGGCCAGCTCCCCAGAGCTGCCCAATTCCTGGGGAAGCTGCCTCCTGAACATTCTCGGTCCCCAGGCAGCGTGAGCCTCAGGGCAGGCAGCCACAGCCCCGTGCACGCAAGAAGGGAAGATGCTCACTTGCCCACCCGAAACCCTACAGCCATGATGTCCCCAGCCCCTCCCCAGTGGCCTCCCACGCTCTACAGTAATAGTTAAACTCCATCCCAGGCTGGCAAGGCCAGGCTCCCGGTGGTCCCTCTACCTTCTGGGCTTCAATCACTTCTCACAGGGCTACACTGCCTCTGCCACGCGGCCTTTGCACATGCCTATCCTGCCTTTGTTATCTGGTCAACAGCTTGGCTCATGGACTAACTCATTCAGCCCTCACACCAACCCCATTCCTACTCTGCAAGTAGAATGCCTGGGTTCAAATCCCAGCTCTACCACTTCACAGCTGTGTGACCCTGGGCTGCGAACTAAACCTCTCTGGGCCTCAGTATCCTCATTTGAATAACAGAAGTAATAACAGCACCTACCTCCTAGTCAGGTTGGTAGAGATGAAGTGACTTCATACACACAAAGCTTCCAGCAGTGCCCGGCACGCAGGACGGCCTCCACGGTGTTATTGGGTGATATTCACTATTATTTCGTGCTCTGGGTGTCAGCCCCTTCCTCGGGGGAGCCCTCTGACTGGCGGCCCCCAGCACCATGGAGGTTCCTCCCATTGTCACTGTACATTTGCTTCGCCGGTGACTTACCTCTGACCCCTATCCCCTGGGCGGAGACAGAGGTGGCGGGGGGCTGAGGCCCCGAGGTGCAGGCACCTGCTCAGGGTCAGACTCTGCAGGAGGCAGACTCTGCAGGGACCCAAACCTCGGGAGCAAGGTCCGGAGACTGCGCCCTGAGCTGACAGCCTGCCACTTCTGAGTGCCTACTGTATACCAAGGACTGTACCTATGTGGCTCGCTCCGCCTTTAAGGCGCCCCTGGGAGATAGCATCTCTGCCTCATCTGAGAGTACGATGGAAACTGAGGGTGAAACAGATGGGCCAGGCCAAGGTCGGGGGCTAAGGAGCTGCTTGTGGCTACAAAGTGATGGGGAAGTCAGTATGCCCCAGATGGCACTGCCCTCGGCTCTTCCACGTACGTTCACCAAAACCCCATGAAGGGGGGTGTGCTGGGTTGGAGAGCATCCCCCAATGCTTCATGTCCACCAGAACCTATGATGTGACCTTATTTGGAAAAAGGATGTTTGCAGATGTGATCAAGTCAACGTGGGGTCATACTGGATTGGGATGGGTCCTTGTAAGAAGAGGGAAATGTGGACAGAGACACGCAGGGAGAAAGGCACACAAAGACGAAGGCAGAGCCTGCAGGGACACGGTCATGAGCCAAGGACCGCCAAGGCTGCCGGCAGGTGCCAGGGGCTGGGGGAGGTAAGGCAGGCTCCTCCCCAGAGCCTCTGGAGGGAATGCAGCCTCTCGGATGCCGTCAACTTGGACTTCTCATCTCCAGAAGAGTGAGAGAATATAGTTAAGCCACCCAGTTCATGACCCTTTATTATGCCAGCCACAGGAAACACACAGTGGGTGCTCCTTGACTCCCACTGTACAGATGAAGAAACTGAGGCACAGAGAGGTTGACCAGCTTGCCTGAGGTCACACAGCGGAAACATCCAGCGGTTGAGACTTGGTTTCTCCCGAGGGATGGGGCCCCACTGCTGCTCATCCTCCAGGGCCGTGCTGCTAAAGTCTTGCAGAGGCTTCAGGCAGGCTGGGGTCCGAACGCCCTGGGGAAACCTGGCCGCTTATCTGCCCAGGCTCCCCGAGGGAGGGGTGGGGCTGGCTCATTCCTGAGTGCCCCTGCCATACAGAGGGTTAGGCACTGTGTTGCTGAAATGATGGGTAAAGGATGGGCGGAGACCATCTGCCTCAGCAATAGCCGCTTCTCCAGTCCCTTTTCCTAACTCTTGGTTTTCTGGGCGGGGGCTCCAGAACTTTCCTAGCTTCTCCACCCCCACCCCCCTATATGGAGGAGTTGCTGGGGGCTGCCAGCACCTGTCTCCCCGCCCCACCCCCGCTCCCTCCTGCCACCGCCTGGAACACACAGCCATTAGCAGCCACCCTGAGCAGTAATTGTCCAGATTGCTGTAATTCACGGCAGACGAGCACGCTGCTGCTCACGGCATCATTACAAATGTCACTGAGCAGGGCCTCCGCGTGCACGGCCCCCAGGGGACTCTCACTGCCATCTCCACGGGCAGAACCCAGGATGAGCTCACTGTCGTCACTGAGGACCCAACCTTGAGATGGTGGGACACGGGCTCCTCTCTGCCGGTGAGTCATCCCTAGCCGTCCTCCCAGCCTCCGGATCTGCCCTTCCAGAAGGCAAAGAGAGGGCAGGCGCTGTCTCCCAGTTCTCAGGCAATGGGGGGGGGTCACTGGTGAAGAGGTGGTGGTGACAGCAGGAGACATGAGAGGGGATGGAGAGGCGGTGGGACCCCGGGCTGACCATTTGGGGACGTCCACGTGGAGTCCTCCTATGGGTGGGTGCTCTGGGCAATCTCCCAGCCAACAGGCTAAGATCCCAGGGACTCACGTATGATTAAAAATCTCATATAATTTTACACAAATGCTCACAGCAGCACTCTTCACAACAGCCACATGGAAACAACCTGCACGTCCCCAAGAGATGAACGACTGACAAAATGTGGTCTGCGCAGGTGATGGAATATTATTCAGCCATACAAAGCTACTCAGATGAACCTCAGAACCATCACACTCCGAGAAAGGAGCCAGACACAAAAGGCCACACACTGTAGGATGCCATTCATTGGAAACGCCCGGAACAGGCCAATCCACAGAGACAGAGAGTGCATTAGTGGCTGCCAGGGGCTGGCAGGGTTGGGGCGGGGCCCTGGGAGGGACTGCTAATGGGTATGGGATTTCCATCTGGGGTGAGAAAAAGTTCCGGAACTAGACAGTGGGGAGGGTTGCACACCAATGCAGATGTACTCAATGCCACTGAGATGTTCACTTTCCAGTGATTAGAATGGTGAGCTTCAGGTTATGTGTATCGTATCAAAATTAAATAAAAGGCGGGGGGAATCACACGGTCTCAGTAAAGCTTCTTTTGCAGCCTATAATGAAATACACACCAGAAACCACCGAGTGGACATTTAAGACACAGAAACAACTTGGCCTCTCTGGGGGCTGACAGCAGCCCCAGGCCCTACCAGCTGGATACGTGCCCAGGCCCCACTGGCATGCCTCTCGCCCACCACACACAGAGCCGGACCCACTGCAGCGGCAGGCGGGCCCTCCTTCCTGAAAGGTGTAAGGGTCTCTCTGGGTCCACGCTCACCTCAGCCTGGGGGGTGGAGGGCAGAGGGCCCCTGGAGGAGCTCTGAGGGCGAGGGGCAGGGTCCCGGGGTGAGGGCGGGGGCTATGGGGGTCTTCTCAGGGCTGTGGGGACCCTCAGCACCCCCCACAACTATAGTGGAGGGCAGGTCCGGGTCCAGAAGCCCCGTGGTCCAGCCTGTTCTCAGATACACCTGCCCTTATGTGCCAGGAGCGTTCGCTATAAAGGGCCTTTGTTCCCTCCGTAAATCACGACCTGGAGCTTTCTGCACAAAGAAACCGCACGTCACAGACAGCCTCGACTCCAGCAGGGCCACGGGACCAAGCACGGGGCGGGGACAGGGAGTAGGGGCCTGGGCCTGCTCCCGGCCGCACACACCAGCTCCGGTACCCGTGGCACTCCTTGGTCTCTGCTTCCTGGCTCCTCGCCCACAAACAGGGACATGGGCGGGCACAGGAACATGCCCCACCTCTTAGATAACTGAGAGCCAGCGCGCCGTGGGAGCCAGGTGCCGCCCCGGCCTCAGCAGTGCTGCCAGTGATGCCCCAGCTCCCACAGCCCCTGCCTTAGGCCAGGTACAGGCGAGGGATGGGGGAGATTCGCTCCCACTCAGCCCACTGTGGGCCCTCACACAGGGTTATCTGATTCCTCACAGCCAACCTGGATGCCCCTCCCACTTAACAGACGGGCAAATGGAGGCCCAGAGTCAGGTCACTGTGCTGGGAAGTAAAGAACTTGGCCAGGAGACAGCACAGCTGAGACGGTCTCCGGCTTAGGAGGAACTGGGCCCCAGCCTCCGCCATGCCGCACATCACAAGGCCACCTGCAAACTGGGAATGGCTTCCGCTGCCAGCACCAACGCCTGCTGGCTCCCTGCCATGTGACCCGCTCCCACGACTGTCCCCAGCAGCCTAGGTGTCCCCATCCACTCCAAAACCCGTCATCACCCAGACTGGGTGCTCAAACCTAAGACAGGTTTCCAAAGCCCCAGCACACTTGAGCCCAGATGGGGGCCTCGGGGCTCTGCCTAAGGGCTGGACAAACGCCCTGCAGGTCTCCCTGACCCCAGGACTCTTCCGAAATGGCCGCCGGCAAGCTCTGACTGTCCTGAGGCACCCAGGTGTGCTGCCGCTGCTCTGTCCCCAAGGCCAAGAGGTGCTGGCCACAGAGATCACCCAGAAGCCACTCGCTGACTACATGCACAGCACAGGCTGTGTCTCTCTGGGCTGTGCCCTCAAGTCACAAAGCCTAGCCTGACAGTGCACCTGCACAGACCCATTTTCAGGAGGGTAAAACTGAGGCTCCACGGTGACAAGCCTAAGAACAGCCCGGAACCAGAGCCTCACCAGAGGCCTCACCACAGCCCCTGGTTCAAGGCCAAATGTGTCAACACCCTCCCCAGCACGCGAGTTTCAAGCACCCTGGACGCAAACCAACAAGGCTTAAAGCCGTGCACACCCCTCACCTTTCTTGGCTGTTTCCATTTCTTCTTCCGTCCAGCGAGAACTCTCATTCAGCTCCATGGAGGCTGAAAAGAAGACGCCAGGTGATTGGCAGGAGCCGGGAAAGGAGGCACTTTGCCTTCCGCCCTTTTCTCTCCTTTGAGCCAGGGAGGGAGTGGACCAGGCCTTGACGGTGTCACCCCACGGCTCTGAATCCCATGGGAAGGCCACATTTCAGGCGCCCCTCCCCAGCCAGTACCCACCGTGGCACCTGACTCCTGAGCCTTTATGCTGGGCTGGGGCTGTGCTGGGCAGTCCCACATGCCGTTGGTCGGGGCCAACCTCCACACAAGCCGCCCAGGTCGGGGCACCTGCCATCACCCCATTTTATAGAAGGTGACACTGAAGCAGTCAACGGCCTTGATCATGACTGCCTCTGCCTGTACTCTGTTGGGAAAGCAGTCACCTGGTGACTTGGTGACCGTGGGACACGAGCTTCAGGTGGGCCAGGACCTCACCTGACCAAGTACCCTCTCGGAGCCCAGCTCTTCCATGACTGTGGGGCTGTCCCATCATGGCAGGATGCTTAGCAACCCTGGACTCTGCACGCTGGATGCCAGCGGCCCCGCTCCAACTGTGACAATCAAAACTGTTCACAGACATCGCCAGGCGTCCCCCAGTGGGGGAGTAAAATCACCCGTGGTGGAGAAGCCCTACCCCAGAGGGTAATTTTCGTACCCCCCACCCATCCAGTACAAGGAGGGGCCTCTGCTGTCACTGGGAAGGGACACAGCCTGGCCTTGGGGTTGGCTGGAGGTGGCTGTGTCTCTGCTGTGGCACTATTTTTGGGTCTGTCTGCCGAGCTCCCCTGGATGTGAGCCCTGGTCCTTCTTCTCCAGTTGCTTAAGACCTGTGAGTGGGGTGGGTGCGAGGGATGTCAGTTCATGGACTCAGCGCCTGGAACTGTGCCAGGCAGAGTATGTGTCCAATAGAGGCTGGCTGAGGAGTGGAGGAAGGTTCCAGCAGAAGAGGGGAGACGGCCCCCACCCCCATGGGCAGCCCCATCACCCCTGACAGGCCAGAACCACCCCAGCCTCCCCTATCTCTGCAGCCACAGCCTGGGCCTCTCTGCATCAGCCTTGGGTCCGAGAGCATTATCCCCAGAGATCAGGCAGGAAGAAAGCCCTTTCCCTTTCACCCTGGGCCTCCAAGTACACTGCCACCAAAGGGCGGCTGGAAAATACCTACAGGAGCTACACAGGCTCTGTGGCCAATGGGGCTGAGTTCTAATCCCAGCTACACTGAATTTTTTTTTTTTTTTTGAGACGGAGTCTCGCGCTGTCGCCCAGGCTGGAGTGCAGTGGCACGATCTCGGCTCACTGCAAGCTCCGCCTCCCGGGTTTACGCCATTCTCCTGCCTCAGCCTCCCAAGTAGCATCTGCCACCAAGCCCGGCTAACTTTTTGTATTTTTAGTAGAGACGGGGTTTCATCGTGTTTGCCAGGATGGTCTCAATCTCCTGACCTCATGATCTGCCCGCCTCGGCCTCCCAAAGTGCTGGGATTACAGGCGTGAGCCACCACGCCCGGCCAGCTACACTGAAATTTTTAGAGAGGCCATGTTTCCTCTCTGAGCTTCAAGTGGGCCATTTACGAAATAGGTCCAAACTACATCCCATGGGAAGAAGAGACAGGTGTGTGAGCCGGACCCTAGGGGACGGTGGGGGTCTGTGAGAGATGAAGCAGCATCTCCACCCTGAGGATGAGCCCTGGCAGGTGGGGCTTCGGCCTGAGCGCTTGGCCCCTGGGTGGGTTCCCGCAGTGGTTGGAGGGCTGGAGCCTAACAGCTAAACAAAGTAGAGACAACAGGCGCACACCGCTGCCTCCTGTGGCGAATCTTGGGAACTGCCACTGACATCATCTCTTACTTTTTTCCACTTTTTGGGAGGGCAATGAGGGATGAACACCCTTCTCAACAGAAGGGGAAACCGAGGCCCACGGAAGTGAAGGTACAAACCCAGATGCCTACCAGGGTGGAGGCTGGGTGGGGACAAGTAGAGCCCATGACATTCTAAGAAGGGGTGCTGGTTACTTGGCTCCCAACAACTGCCACCTCGTGGCAACCTGGGCCACGCGTGGCCAGATCTTCTGTTTTAAAAACGACAACCAAAAAATCCAGAATTGGTCATTGGGTTTTTTATGTGACATCTTCATGCTCTGAAATCACTTTGGTTGAAGCCACTGAGCTCTTCCTACACCCCAGGCACTGTTCTAGGTGCTTCTCACATAGCAAGTGACTACAACTCTCCCTCCATGTTTAGAGGTAACCACCGATTTCTCCCACTGAGAACATGAGGACCTTGAGGCACAGAAAGGTTCAGGAATTCACTCTGGGTCACACAGCACATCCAGTAATTAGCACTGGGATTTGACCTCAACCATGACTTACGTCAGCCCCTTGGCAGTTGCCAATTAACTCAAATTGCACGAAACTTTCATATGAGTGCAACCCGCCACGTCTCCAGCCCCTCCCCCACCTGCATCCTGGCCCCCGGCTCACCTAGCTCGGCACTCTGCTGGGGGGTGATGGCCTCCTCACTGTTGGCCTCATTAGCCATTGAGCGGGTGATGCGGCCTTTGCGTCTCCCCTGGCTGTTGGCAGTTTTGCGGCCTTTGGAGGCCACGGCCTCCTTCTCGTCGTTGTCCTCCCCTGAGGTGTCGTCTGTCTTCTCCCTACAGGCCAGAGAGGGGAGACAGGATGGTTTCACCTGAGCCGGGAAATCAAACGGCCACTGGAGGAGACCGTTTCTTCAGCTGGATTTGCACTGCCTGCCAGCAGTGGCGCTAATCAGATGCTAAGAAAGACGGGGAGAGGCCTGAGGTGAGGGTGGCCGGGGGCGGTCTGCAGGGCCTCCCCGTTCACCAGACGTGGGAGTACAGCTGGAAGAACAATGCCAGGCTATTTCTCAAAAGGGAGTTGCGGCCAGGTGTGCTGGGTCACACCTGTAATCTCAGCAGTTTGGGAGGCCAAAGTTGGAGGATCGCTTGAGCCCAGGAGTTTAAGACCAGCCTGGGAAACATAGCAAGACCCCATTTCTACAAAAGAAAAATATCAGAAAATTAGCCAGGTGTGGTGGCATATGCTGATGGTCCCAGCTGCTTGGAAGGCTAAGGCAGGGGGATCTCTTGAGCCTGGGAGGTCGAGGCTGCAGTGAGCCATGATTATACCACTGCACTCCAGCCTGGGCGACAGAACAAGATCCTGTCTCCAAAAAAAAAAAAAAAAAATGGATAGGGGGTGTAACCTGGGCTATCAACTACTTAATTCACCAATAAGGCCACATGGACAGGTAGTTAATTGGCTGGCTATTTTATTCCCCAAATGGGAGGTACTGGGAACTTTCCTTCTGGGCTGGTGGCTATCTGCAAGACCATTTTATGCACCAAATAGATACTGTCTGCAAGACTATTTGGTGAACTAAATGGAGGTGTGGGCTGGCAGCAATTTACAGGGCCATTTTATTCACCACAGAGGAGCTATTTCCAGAGGGGCTCTATAAGAGGCAATACATTGGCCTTCAGTATTATCAAGGGCCAGGTGTCTTAGGCATTGGCAGGAGGAAACTCTCTTGCCGGTTTTATGCAGGCCTAGCCTGCAGGCCTAGTTGAGGTGTGTGGGGGTGCTCGCAACCTCGATACACAAGCTGGGGCTCTTGCAGAAGCAACTGGGGAGAGTTTTACTGCGGGAGGCTCAGATTGATCACCTCCACCTTCCCATTCATCTTCCTGAAAGGCCCTTGCTGGAAGTGTCTGGGAGACGGGGTGAGGAAGCCAGATGTTCTCTGAAGCCAAATTCCTGAGCCCATTACAGGTACCTGGCGCTAAGTCGTGCCGCCCCCCTTTCTCCAGCTGGCTGCACTCCCGCAGCCCCTGGCAGGCACAGGAGGCCGTCACGGCCCCCACGGTGAGGCTGTGCCTTGATCTGCAAGAACTCACACTGCCATCAATGATTCTAAAGGTGACAGCAGCCGCCTGCACACCTAGTCCTTCCAGGAGTGCCTCTGATCCCCCCTTCCCCCCTCCTGGCGCCTCAGGAGGCGAGAGCGGGAGGAGGAGGGGAGGCAGAGAGTTCCAAAGTCATTGCCTGGATTTATTAGCTCAGGAGTGGAGCTCAAATGAGCTATCAGTCTCTAAAGTCTCCAGAGGGTTGGAGAAAGAAAGGGAGAGCGGATATGGGGGGAGCCGGGAAGGAGGAGGAGGGCGATGGGAGGGCTTCTGGAAGGGGGGCTGTCAGGGGCAGACGAGCAGAAAGCTCTCTCCCCTGCTCACGGGCAATTGGTGGACGCCCCACCCATCTCTACAAAGGGCTCCCCGGACCCGTGTGCCACCTGGGTTGGGTCAGCAGCCGGGCCCTGCAGGGGACAGCGGGCTGCCTTACTTGAGGAGGTCTTCCTTGTCGTTCTCCACCTCCGGCTTCTCCTCCTCCTTCTCCGCCTCCTTTTCCTTCTCCTTCTCATCTTTCTCCTCCTGGCTGCTGCGGGGCATGGGCTGCTGCTGCTGCTGCTGTTGCTGCTGCTGTCAGACCCCGGCGGAGGGCAGAGGGGAGTGGGGAGGGAAGGAAACCATGAACAGGTGAATCTCTGCACCTGGGCTCAGCCTGAGCTGGGAAGGAGGAAAAAAACACGTGGGGTCCACCCAGAAGAGGCCATAAACAACCGGGAAGCCAGGCCCCACTGGCATGAGCTGGGGAGAGGCACCGCCTGGGGTCCTGCCGCCCTAGGGGCCTGGGTAGGCGGAGTTGGGGTGAGGGGCAGGAAGCACTGGTGTCAGAAGTGCTGGCTTCAATTCCTGCCCTTTCCACACAGTGGCTGTGTGCGCTTGGATGAGGGTCTTAACCTCTCTGTGCTGATTCCTTTGCCTTGGCAACGTGAGTATTCAGCATGCCTGTGCCTCAGCTGAGGGCTGGGAGGTTGAGAGAATCCTCGCCATGCTTACATGCGCATCTGGCCCGGATATTTAAGAGGGGCAGAAGTGATCCGGGCCCCAGAGGTGCCCTGGTGAGCCTCAGCAGGGGTGCCTGAGCATCTGGGAAGGTGGGGACACACCCCTGACGCCCCAGCCCTGCCCCCAACAGAGCTGAGGCCACCTCTCTAAGCCTCTGTCTCTGAGTCTGTACAACGGGGAGGTGGGGGGATGCCCCTGATTCCCCAGAGCCCAGGAAGGCCCCAGGCCTGCGTGGAGGTGGCCGCTCCTGCTGTCTCCCTCGCATGCCGGCACCCCAGGGGGACAGAACAAGCCCATTTTACAGAGCAGATCAGAGAGGCTGGGAGCCAAGCCAGCCTCCTAACTTGGGCCTCTTCCTGTTGTCTGCCTCCCCAACCTATCCCAGCCACTCTGGGCCCGCCGCCCCTCCCCTCACCGACATAGAGGAAGGAGTGTGAGCTCCTCCCCGCACTGCCTCCCGATTTCCTTTCATCCCGCCTGATTTCTTTTAAAGCACACGCTGATTTTCTTGGACACCCCAAGGTCCTCCCTGCAGGCAGCTGCCAAACCAGACCATCTTTCCATCCCTTTGAGCCAAGCGAAATAAAAATAAACCCCAAAGCCTTTTAATGTGTACCAGGGGCACAGTCACACCAATGTTTCAAACCAGGGAGCGAGAACTCCAAGCAGATAGAAGAGGAGGGGTCGGGAAGGTGAGAGAGGCCCCTTCTCCGGCCTTTCCTTCCTGCCAGGAACAGGCGCGGGCCCTGCACACAACGCTCTCTCCAGCCTCTTTTCATTTAGGATGGGGCAGAGAAACAGAGCAAGGGTCTCACGGCTGCAGGCAACCGTGGGCTCTCTGAGGCTGCTGCTGGGTCCAGGGCAGAACCTGTATCTGCCTCTGCCAGGGCCTGTATCTGCCTCTCTTCCCCAGGAATCCCACGCCACCGTGTTCTGTAAGAGGAGCCAGGAAGGGGCAGAGTGGCCCAATGACTTGGAACAGTCTCCCCGCCCCAGGTTGCTGCTGATTCCCCAACAGGTGTCCGGCATTCTGGGACCAGCCTGTTCTCCCTCTCCTGACCTCAAACCCTCAAACATAACCTTTAAACAGCCGCCAGGTGAAGACTCTTGGAGGCAGAAGCTGGGGCGGGAGGTTTTTTTAGGCTTGTTCCTACAGTGTCCTTTCTGTCCACATTTGCCTGATGTGGGCAGAGGTGGGGACCTGGGGAGGGAGCCCTGCCCCCTGGGCTGCCCGGCCTGGATGCCGTCTCCCTGGGTCAGATGTCCCTGGCAACAGCCCAGGGCCGGAGTCTGGGCAGGGCCGGGGCTTTTGAATCACATGGAGCTTGGTGTCTCCTGAGACCACACTCAGCTACGTCTGTGCCAAGAAGTCCCCACCTGGGCTGCAGCATCCCTCCTGATGGGAGCAGCGGCCACGGAGCCTCCTTTCCGGAGCATCTGCCCGTTCGCCCCTGCGTCTAGGCTGGTGGGGGCTCCATGACCCCCTGGGGCCTCACCCATGGAGGGTTAATGTCTGCCCTGGCATGGCCAGTAAATGCAGCTCCACACCCATCAGGCCGCAGGCAGGGGCCAGTCGGGAGAGGGGTGCGCCTGGGCCAGGCCCTGAGCTACGAACCTTCCCCACTGGAGCTCTCCTCCAAGTCCTCAGAAAAGCCCCAAGGAGGAGAGGCTGGTGCAGAGGAGAAAATCCCCACAGATCCCCGAGAGCTGACTATACACCCAGCACTGTGCTGTCCATTTTACATGGGCCAGCTCCTGGCCCCTCTGAAGTCCTGATGGAGATGAAAACACCATGAGTAACAGTGACCCAGAGGGATGTCATGGGTCACCCACCCCCTGCACCACACCAAGTACTTTGCAAACACTATTCCAGCCTCAGAAATAGGAGAGCCATGATCACTGGCCACATTCTGCAGAGGAGGAAACTGAGGCTCAGAGAGGCAAAGCTTCAAGGTCTCGGTGCAAAGAAGGCTGACAGCCCAGCATGTGGGGGATGTGACCCTGCTGTCCCCAAAGCCCCAGCTGAGAGTCTCAGCCAACCCCTGGCCAGGATCTAGGGTTTGTGTTCTGCAGACTCGCCAGCCCGCCCCGTCTACCTGTTCTACCTGCCCCCTACTCCACACTCTACAAGCCCTGCCAGGGCCTGCCCACAACCCCCTCTCTCCTGGATGGTCAACCCCCATGTCTCCGTGTTCGATCGCTCACGGTGCCACATGCCTGGCTCCATCCCACGTGGTCTCCCCTACCCACCCACCCGTCCATCTTACAGAAGAGGAAACTGAGGCACCAAGTGCAATCCTGTCACCAAGCCCTGCCTCCTCCTCTTACCTGACATGTTAACAAGCCCCCAGGGCAGGGGTGCTTTCCACCCTCACCCTCTGGTTGGAGTGGATGCAGCAACACCCACTAGCACAAGGTGGTCCCTTCTGGGCCACCCTGCAGCCAAGACCTAGGGCCCTGTGCACGGGCTCCTCACTTCCCGTGGGCTCAACATCTCCTGTGGGAAAGGCATCCCTGCAGCCCACGTTGAGTGAGTCCGGTAGCGGAAGATGAAAAGGAGGAATACCAGAGCAGCCCTGGCCTTAAAACATGCTTTCCAGTGGGACAGACCCCGGGAGCCTTAATGACGAACATCTGCAGGGTCTCGCAGCGGCCACCCGGGAGGCCGAGGGACTGATTTAGGGCTGCTCATACTCGCTGCTGGGAGATTGCGCAGGGAGAGGGAGGCCCCAGCTCACAACTCCCCGAGGAGCTGGGGGGACCTGGCAGCCGGCTCAGCCCCCAAAGCCTTCTTTGTTTTAGGGCAGCAAGTGCAGCGGCCAACACTGGCGAGGCTGGGCTGCCGGGTCTTGGGCCTGTCCACAGAGTGGCAGAACTGCACTTGCTGGGCTTCCCAGGCCACTGAGGTCCATGGTTCTCAAGATCCTATGACATTGGCTGCACACTCAGATCTCGTGGGGAGCCCTGAGAAGTCCTGATGCCCAGGCCACACCCCACACCAATGACATCCGAATCTCTGGGCCAAGACCCAGGCATTCGTATGTTAAATTCCAGGTTATCCCGATGGGCAGCCAGATTTGAGAACCAGTGCTTTACCAGGGACTGGCAAACGTTTTCTGTAAGGGCCAGAGGATAAGTATGCGGTCTCTGTCACCCCCCTACTCAACTCTGCCACTGTCTTGTGAAAGCAGCCCTTGTATCAAAAAAGGGCATGGCTGTGTGCCAGTAAAACTTTATTTACAAAAGCAGGTGGTGGGCCGGATTTGGCCTGCAGGCTTTCCTTAGAGCACCCTGCTCCAGGCCAGTGCTACCCACACCTGAAGGTGCATACACATCCCCTGCCAATTCCCACTCAGTGGGTCTGGGGTGGGACCTGGGACTCTGCATTTCTAACCAGGGCCAGGAGAAGCTGCCACGGCTGGCCTCAGACCCCACTGAGGAGCGAGGCCTTCAAGAATCCTTGTCTCACAAGGCACACAAAGGACTCTCTGTGCAGCAGAAAACGCCTGTGGGCACCATTCCCTCGATGTGAGGGGCCTGAAAGAAGGGGAATCAGAAAGAACTAGAAGCCAGCTCCACTATCTCAAAGGAGCTCGCCCTCGTGGTAGAGGGCTACCTCTGCCTTTCAGACGTGCCACTGGTCAGGCCGACAGTGGGTTTGTGCCCCGTGTATGGTCAGAAACATCCCCCCAGACCACAGCACAACTCTGTGGCAAACCCTACTGGATCTATGGTTAGCCAGAGCCACTGGCCCAAAGCCCCAAGGGACACCTGCCCCCAGATCTGGACAATGAACCCGTAACCCTGAGCCTGCCAGACAAGTAGCGCATGACTGGGCCTGTGCAGAAGCCCCAGACCGCGGGCTATGCAGAAAACTATCTCAATAAAAACAACGAACAAGCTGAGCACATTTGATGAGGCCTTCTCCTAATCGCTTCCTGTTACCTGTTACTTGAATCCTCCCAACAACTGGTATCATCCCAGTTTTATGGATGAGAATGCAAAGACACAGGGAGGTTAAGTAACTCAACCAAGGTCACACAGCATTTCCTAGAAGGTCCTACATCCAGGTGCCCTACCTCCGCCCTCGGTTGGGGGTTCACAGCCTCCTCCCTAAGCCCATTTAAGCCAAATGATGCCATTGCCTGATTCTTTCCCTCCACCAGCATGCCCTGAACCCCCAAGGGGCACACCAGCCGCTGAAAGATGTGGCCCCCAACTGTATGGAGCTTGCACTTAGGTTGACAAAGACAGGCCAGATGGAGGTGACGGTGATGAGGACACATTCAAAAGGCACATTCATGGTGCAGACGAGGCAGCCAGGTGTGCTGACATGCAAGGAGAGGGAAGGGGCTTTGGCAGAGCAGGAGGCCTCTGAGGCATGGCGACGGGAAAATGGCCTCTGTGCCTACCAAGTGGCACTTTGGGGCATGGCTGGAGGGCCTGGCCAGGGCTAACACCCATGCTCAGAAATACACGTGGCATCCTGAGGGCGGCAGGAGCCCCTGGGGACCTTTCTCGAAAGGTGCAGGGGTGGCGGGAAGTCACATGACCTGCCCCATGTTAAAAGG